TTTTCACAATTAAATTTTGTGCCAAAAGCTCTGCCACATTGCCTACATACATAGCGTTTCTCCCCAGTGTGAATTTTTTCATGATTTTCACAATTGAATTGTGTGCCAAAAGCTTTCCCACATTGCTTACAGACATAGGGTTTTTCCCCAGTGTGGATTCTTTCATGATTTTGACAAGTAAATGGTGTGCCGAAAGCTTTCCCGCAATGCTTACATACATAGTGTTTCTCCTCAGTTTCTCCCCTTTTAAATTTACAAAATGAAGAGCTATTAGTTAAGGATTTCCCACTGTTCTTACATTCATAGTGTTTTTCTCCAGTGTAAGCACTTTCATGCATCTGAACATCATGGTGAGAATCAAAACCTTTTCCACTTTGCACACTTACATATGGGTCCACTCTATTGTGATGTCTTTTTCGGATTTCAACATAGTTCAATGCACTAACAGCTTGCACATCTTGCTTATATTCAAAAGGCTTCTCTTCTTCTATGTTAGTTCCTTCAGTGCCATCAGAGAATGTTCCAGATTGCTTATATCCACAGGCTTTCTCTCCAGGAGTTTTCTTAGCATACTTCTGAAAGTACTGGAATTCAGTGCAGGCTTCCTCATGTGTGCTACAGTTAGAAAGCTTCTCTTGAAAGCTCTGATACTCATACAATTTGAGTCCAGGCACATTTTCTGGTGAATGAAAAATCAGGTGCTTTCTATAGGCAAAACTTTCACTTCGTTTTGTACCAACTGTTTTCATGTACACATTACCATCTGGAGAACAAAACATCATGTCTTCATGTTGATACCATAATTCATGTTGATACCATTTGTCTACCTCTTCACTTCTGCAATAGAAAAAAATAACAAAACTACCAATCACTTTTCAACTGTGTTTTGTTGGGTTTTTTTTGTACTGGGGATCAAACTCGGGACCTTGTGCTCACAAGGCAGGCGGCAGCACCACTGAGCTAAATCCCTGGCCCTCAAAGTGTCTTTATAGAAATGATTGACCAGGAGATCTGGTGTGCTGCCTCGTAAGAATATATGATCATAATTATACTATAGACTTTCCATGATGGCTTGGAAACCACTTTTACCAAAGCAGCTGTATTTATTTGCAATATATAACACTTAATTTCACTTTAGGGAATTGGTACATATATATACATACTATATGTTGACTATTTTTGATATACTTTCTCCTTGACTCTACACCCTCCTTCCATTGAAATCCTTCACCTACTGCCTATTGTCCCTCTTCCTAACGCATCTCTCTTCTCTGCTATTTCTTCTTTATTTTACTCCCTAATTCATATTTTGAGTTTTTGATACAAAATATAACATGTGATACTGAAGTTTCTGTATCTGACTCACTTCACTTAATATTATAGGTTCAAGGCCAGGAATTTAGCTCAGTGGTTCAGGCACCTGCCTCGCAAGCACAAGGACCCAAGTTTGATCTCCAGTACAAAAAAAAAGAAAAGAAAATATTATGGGTTCAATATCCATCTATTCTTTTGGCAAATGATATCACTTTATCCTTCTTTATGGCCAAATACTATACCATTTCATACACATACCATTTTGTTTTCAGTGCTGGAAATTGAATCTGGATTTAACACTGAGATATACCCCCAGACTATTTAATTTTATTTTGAGAGAGTCTTAGCAATCATTAAGTTGCCTGCGATGAACATGAACATATGACCTTACCGGCTCAGGTTCCCAGGGTGCTAAGATTGCAAGCATGCATCATCATGCCCAGACTATCCCATATTTCCTTAATGCACATAACTGTGAATTGACTTCTAGGCTTTTTCCAGATCATAGCTGCTACAAACATGGGTATGCACATATCATTGTAACATGATTACTTAATTTTGGGGAAAAGGTACCTAGGAGAAATATACATGATACAGTGAAATTTCTATTTTTTATATTTTTAAGGACACTCTACATGCATTTCCATGACTCTAAAACATACAATATAGGAAGGTACATTCTAATATTGTGAAATTTGAATGGACTAAGTAGTTTGGCAGGATTGCATAAAAACAGCTATTATTGTAACAAGATTTTGATTTTGAATACTTCCACAGGGTTAGCAATTTTGCAAATACTGAAAGTGTATACCATATTAAAAAACATAGCATTTCTAAACAAAATTTGTTTCATATGAAAGTGATCTTTAGAAAATACTCACAAGTTTATGTAATTAGCTATCCTAAATGTGACTCCCAGTCTAAACACAAAATTTGTTTCATGTGCATCCATAATCAATTGCTACACACAATTTCATATACTTTTAAAGTCTTGATTATAGAAAATACTGTTTATTCTGATACATTAGATAATGTTACTCATGGCATAAAGTCAGTACTCCCTATGTTTCAGATGTTGGAATGTTTTAAATATTCAATTGTCAGATTATAGATGCTCAACCAATATGCTTCTTTGGAGAAATATTGTGAGAGTCAAGAAATTTGAACATGGGATGCCCTACCGAGGTCGCGGGTCACACGGAACACACCGAATCAGCCCGGGCCCTGGCAGCAATCCACTGGACAGCCCCCTCCCCCTGCTCCTCTGGCCTCTTCTCTGTACAGACACCTGGTTCCACATTACAAAGACACAGAGGACACCGGACCACCGGACCACTGCACTGGGTAAGTTGGAGTCATCTTCACCTCCCATCAGGACTGGGACTATCTTCAGGGGAAGGGCAGCTGGAACCTG